AAGGTGATAATTGTTCTTTTTTCAACTCTAAAACATTTCAGATGCTTTCAAGAAATGTAATTTTGGCTGATAAATGTGAAATTTCACAAGTATTTGGCCAATTCGATTGTGACAATAGATTTAATTAATTGATGTTTGTTGAATTATTTTGAGGGTATTCAGAAAACTTAAATGTTTGCCAAATAAAAGCTTTATATACCACCTAACAGATCAAGGCAAATTCCAAGGTAGTCAACTCTGAATCATTCCTATGTCATTAAAATAAAAAATATTAATTTATATATTCAAGTAAATTAATATTTTTATTCACACTTTGAAACCAAATTTCTTCTTGTCTTTGTTCAATAATTTGCATTAAATGTAAAGAAAAGTCGTATAAATCGATTTTTCACATTTCAAATTTTGGACGCGTTGCCATAGTCTTTTAACCCAATCGATTACCATTATTTTCGAATGAATATTTTAATTTGTTCTAGCAGAATGTCATTTTAGCATTGTATTTGTTTTAATTCAGTGACATGAGAGAATAGAACAGAACAGATGCTTTAAGTTCAATGTGTGATTGCAAATGAACTCAGTCGTTACCGTCATTCGTTTGGGCTATCATCTTTTGAATTTAATTAGATTTATAAGTGCCTCTTCATTCACACTATATTTTATGTCACCTAGGTCCAAGTTTCGCAACTTCGAGAATAATAATAAACAAAGTCTTTATCTAGTATAAAATTGCTAGTATCTTAGGCAGCAAATTAAAACTTACGAAATTGAATAAATTCCGGTATTCAAAAGACGGATATGGGAAATCTCGACACTGGAATATTATAGGAAGAATGAGTAGTCAATATTTATTATTAGTCGATCGGTTTGCTAAGCAAATCCCAAGTATCAGGATGTATCACCCCAAATAACCTGAATTTGCTCCAATTTCCCCTTCAATAGCCTTTCTTTTACTTCCAATTGTTCTATTTCCATATCCCTCGTGTACAGATGATTCTTCAAGCCTATAATTTTTTAAAATTTTTTCCCTACCAACAGTAAGTATTTAAATCAAATGCCAATTTATTTTTGTTCACCTTTAAGAGTTCAGCGAGCCTTATTTCTTTTAATTGCGAAATACGTTTGTCATTTGAATAGCAGTGTTTAAAACGGCAACTGTATATATCCACCCATTCAAATTTATAAACTACCAATAATATCTGGTCTCAGAGAGCGTTACTTTGAAAAAAGGGAATATGATA